TGGGTGGTTGCTAATATGAGGGCTGCTGACTTAGAGCATAAATGGTTCACTGCACAGCTCCAGGGCAGCACCTACCACCCAGGGAAGACAAACAAGATGCTCTGGAAGCTGTGCAGTTTGCTCCTGCACAGGCAGCATGTCCCCAAAGAATTGGTTCAATCTCTCGCCACGTGTACACCTGTGCCATCTCAGGGACGTCTCTGCTGTAGCTCGTGTAACTCCATACAATCATTGTAACTGAGCTCTCTCACAAAAACAACACTTAATCCACAGGACAGGCAAGATGGAAAGCAAAATGCCTGAATCTGCCAACAGCCAATTTATTGGCTTTTATTTGCCAAAGGTTGCTGTGGGTGAGGTATAGGAAAATGCATCTACAGTCTGCCCGCAGTGCCTCCAAGACAGTCTTCCAAGCCCAGCAGAACATACTTCAGTAGTTTTCATTTGTTTCTTATCCAAAAATGCCTGTGAGCCCAGCAGTTTATGAAGCAATCCTTTTGCAACAAATTTAAAAAAGAGGGATTTCTGGGGAACACTCTTAACATTCCTGTATCTCCATCTCAACAGCTGTATTCAACCCGTTCTGCTCACTGCTCAGTCCCAATTACAATGAGCTAGCTCACTGCTCAGTCCCAATTACAATAAAAGTATTTAATTTCCTCTCTGATTTCCCTTCAACAACAGATTGCAACTTGTCACACTTCAAGCTAATTTTGGTAGCTCGTTTAACACACACTGAAACCTAAATATGTTCCCAAGCTCTGGCTCATTGCAATAAAGGATGGAGAAAGGAGATGAAATCTCTGGAGGCTGAGAACCTGACCATGATTACTGCTGGCTGAAAACTTGTTTTGTCCCAGTAGTCTGGGGTGCAGTTAGAATCTTCCATGAATGATCAATAGACTACCAACAGATCAATGAAATTCTGCCCTAAATGTATCTGAACCAACTCATCTGGGGATCAAAGAAGTCTAACCAGCCACTGTCCTGCAATTTGAAATTCTTGATGAAGTGAAACAGCATAATTCATACTCATTTACTGTGGCTGGTTTCTCTAGCTCAAGTACCTGCGACACCTGAGTGATTGGTTTTTTCCCTTCCCTGCTTCCTACTCAGCATTTAAGTTACTATGTGGTGAGTTGGCCTCCAATATCCGTGTTCATATTGAGGAGAATCTTCCTCCATTTAGTAACCCCACTGATTCCCAGAACTGAAAATTCAAGATTATGCTCCTTGCTAGTGAACACATTCTACCACTTATCAAGAGAATATTAAGCTTACCATAAAGCACTTTTTAGTGCTAAGTCTTGGAGATATTTAAATTCTGTCAGCAATATCAAAATTATTTCTTACCCCAAACTTCTATAACCAGCATAGTAACCTACTTCCAGGAATAATAAAGACTGTAGAACATATTCTCAGATTTCTTGATGGATGATGAGTTGGCCTCAGTAAAGTTGTTAACGATGTAAAATAAAATGCAAATTAAATAGCACAATCAAAATGTAGCTATTAAAAAAATAGTCATGTAGGCATTATATGATACTAAGTACCACCCCTTTGCTTACATTGTTAGATAGATAATACCAGCATATTAGAAACATAATCAATCACAAAAAAACTGTTTCTATAGCTGTGAGTTCCTCAAACTATGGGCCATAACCATCCATGGGGATTCCTGAATGAGTTTGAATGGGATCACAAACTGTTAGCAAGAAGTGAGGGCAGATATTTTCCCCTATATTGAGCAGCCCAGTCCTGTGGCAAGGAGGGGAACAGGAGAGCAGACTGTAATTAGTGGCTTGCTAGGGAACTGCTAACTACCTTTAATTACAACAGTTCACTTTCTCCAGGACAGGGGAGCAATATAGACTAGAATTAAAATTGCTGGATAGTTGCTAACTGCCTTTCATTGCAGGCAATAGATCTGTTTCTCCAGGGAGGAAGAATAAACTTGTGACTGGATCTTATTCCCCCATCATTTAGAAATGAGGCCATTACCAACTCAGGGGGTCACACAAATATGCAGTCCAACACAGTTGTATTTCCAGCCTGTCTAAGAAAGAAATCAATAGTCTCATTTAGAGAATGTGTGACCACCAGACGAAGACTGAGGTGCCCCATGCAATCTGCATTGCACCTCAGTGAAGAAGGATGTTTATTAAAGGACTTAAAATGAGAGGGTAATTGAAAAAGCAGAATGATCTCACTGAAACACACTTGTACATTGCTTTCTGTGTCCCTGCCTGTCATCTGAACCCACTTTCTTATCATGAAGTGATCACCTTTTCAAAGCTTTCAGCAACTGAATGCATCAAGATGGAACCTGAAGACTGGCACTTGAGGCTGCAGTTCCACACAGTGTCTCCTGGCTCAGCACAGCAAATGGGTCAAGACAAGGCACCTCTCCTCCCCCCTCCTGAGGGCAGCTTTCCTCAAGCCTGGAAGAGAAATTATCCAGCACTTCTTCCTCTCAAAATTAGGGATTTTAGGGAAATGCATCAGTGATATGAACCCCACTTCCCAGCTTTTAGCATCCTCAAAGTTCATGATTGCTTTCTTGCAGTCTCTCAATATCCATGAGGCCTGTAGCTGCAGAGAAGCCTGTCTCCTTCAGTGCCTTCTGGCTACCACAGCCACCATGCACCTTTCTCCAGGAGTGCTCTTCAGCTCCAGAAGGGAGTGGAAGCAGTGCCAGGTGGAAGTGACCTTACTGGTGGACATGATCTAATGTCAGCAGCAAAGGTCTCCACTCCTCCCCAAGCGCCATCCATATTCCCACACTGCACCCTGTGATGTCACACCCTCTCCCTGGGGAAGCAGCTCAGAAAAGAGATCTAGCTTAGAAATAACATAGGAGGAAAAAAAAAATGAAGGAAAATTGTTATTTTTTGACTGGATCAGTTTTCTAACCTGTTGTATTGCACAGCCACATGAGCACCTGTGGTGGTCTGAGCCAAGAGTGGGAAACGTGAGACGTGTCTTGAACAGCACTGCCATATAGTGGCTGTGTGAGATGGAAAGACTGGCCCTGGCTGACGTGGAGAGGAAAAGAAGAGGTGACCTGAATGCTGTCTACACAACTTGGCCATGGAAAATGGCTCAGATAGTGAGAGAAGCTCCTGAGTTTTGCAGACAAAGATGCAATGTAGTGCAGGCCTCAGCATCGAAGCTGGGCAGCTTGAAATTCGAACTGGTTATAGCCTCCTGCTAGTGGGAGTGATTAGGCATGGGAGCAGAGGAACTCCTGTGGGCCCTGGGTGTTTAAAAAGAGTTTAAGCTATAAGTCATTCTAAAACCTAAGGTTTGGGTATCCTCTGAATTTGAACTTACAAGAATGTGTGACATTCTCCTAACAAACCCCTTGCAGAGGAGAGAGGAAAAATGATGCCACCCCATGGGACTGGAGAGTGGCTGCACACTCTTTAAAGCCTATAGCCAGTGGCATGGATAGTTTTGTATGCAAGAGCATGGACATAGTACGACCTCCTGGAAACAGTGAAAAATACTAGACTTGCCATATTATTTTCCTAACACTAAAAACAATGTGTTCATGCCATGAGAAAACTCCCACTGAGCTGCTGAGACCTTCCAACCTTTCCAACAGGTTCTCTGCCCACTGCAGAAAGTCAACACTGAGGAAAAACCCTCGTGTGGGCCATGCCACTGTGTCTTCTGCCAGTCTGGTGGGTGATACACATCAAACCTATCTCCCCAGAAACCCAGCAGGCACAAGTTATTCCAGAAAGTCCCAAGAGAAGAAATCCTGCTTCTAGAATCAAGTGGAAACTCTTCCCACTCTTGTCAGATCTTCAGGCATCCATTCAAGGGATCATTTCACATCTTTCTGTGAAATACAATATAACTGCAGCCACAAGTCAGGTTTTCTCAAGTTTTTATTTGCAATTTGTCAGCAGCATTTTTGCCAAGCCAGAAGGGTTATATCCATACTCTCTGGTGCTGAGCAGGATGCCTGTAAGTCATCTAATTTGTTTGGAAATAGGGATGCTGGCCCCAGCAGGCTGCTAAGACAGGAAGAACAGTTTCAAAACATATTTACTGGTAACTGCAATGAGAAAATAAACTTTAATTTCCCTTCCCCTTGACTGTCTGTACTGCTTAGCTCTGTGCCATGTGAGGCACTGCCTGGACAGGTGCAGCTGGGGATAGGTCACTCTGGGCATGTCCAAGTGGAATGGAGTCTTTAAGGCAGATTTTCAAAACATTATGGATTTCATCTTTGCTTAGCAGCTGGTTACTGTGCCAAAGCCATGAATCACCACATGAAATGATTGAAGGAGGGGGGAAAATAATATTATAATATTAGTGAAGTGGCAGACTAGCTCAGGGATATGCTTTGCAGTCCTATTAAACTTGAGAGGCTACAGTTTCCATTCCCAGACCTGGTGCTTAACACAAGAACCATGTTTCCCCACCCCATCCAAAGAGTTGTACTAGGCAAAAACTGAAAAGCAAACCAGCAAAAGGTCAACCCTGTACTGTGGAGGTAAATGCTGCCAGCAGATCAACATGGCAGTGTTCATGAAAAGCCTGCAGCAGCTCTGGCAAGCTTGGCAAAATTTATAATTCATCACAGAAGAACCAAATATGTGATGTTTGTTTCTGTGGAAGAATGGGAGGAGACTAATGGTAAAGGAGAAGGAGTGAGAGTGTGGAAGCAGGGAGAGGGGAAAGCAGAAAACAGAGCCCTGGCGAATTTTCAGGGACCTACAGAAAAAAATTGTCTAAATAGAGCAGTTCAGACCTCAAATACCGTGTGGTGCTTGGACAATCTTCTGGGGTTTGGCATTTTAAACAAAGTGTTCTTACATTTACTAGGCTGGAATGTCCATTTGACTATAGACTCTCTGCTACTTTGCTCGTACTTTAACATTTTGGACATGTGACAAAAATGTGTGTAACGCATTTTTTAAAGTGTTGATTGTGCTCGTAATTTTCAAGTCAGAATATAAAATAAACATCTCTGCCCTTTCTTCCAGCAGGCAGCACAGAGATCTGCTCTCCGCATTCTATCTGACAGGTACATTTTGTCATTTTTATGAACTATAAATTGCTTTATGAAACGTTGAGCCCTATTTATTGTGGCATATAACTCATAATCGGATTTTGTCCCCAAAGTATCTGTGAACTGGGATGTTAAACATTTTGCATGCTTGGATTTGTCATGCATGTGTAGAGTTTATTACTGCAAAAATCACAGTCTTGTTGTATTTCATACAGAGTATGCAGAATCCCTTGTTGTGATACCAAACGAGAGATAAGAAACTTACTGGAGAAGGCATGAATGATGCAGTAAATTCTGAGCTTTAGAGTTTGCTGAGATATATCTGAGCTCATTTCTCAGCAATAAGTACTTCATTTATTCCGAGATGTTCTCTTTTGACTTTTTCCAAATCCTTTCCCTGGGAATTACTCTTCCTTTGATGAGATTCTCTGTATGTTTTATGCACAAAAACAATGCCCTTTTTTACCCCTTAAGTTTTAAGAGATTGGTATTTTGGAGGAATTTAATTAATTTTTTCACTTCTTCTGGAACTGCAGCAGTGCTCCAGGCAGATAAGCAGGGGACCAAATCCTTAGTGTTCAGGTTTTACTCAGCTCTTTTTCAAGCAAAAAAATCCATTAACTTCAATGGGAAACTTGCCTGAGTGAGGAATTCGGGACTTGGGCCATAGTAAATGTTATAGTTGGGCTGTAGGTCTGCACAGGTATTTACCTTAAATGACTTTTATGAAAGAGGATTGATTGAAATATAAGGTAGCTTTCTAAGATGGTCCTGATTTCTTTTCCAGTTTTGGGAAAGGGGGTAGGGAAGGGGGAGGAGACACTGTACATTTTAGTGCCTGTGAAAAAGAACTAGCAGATTTACATTTTTCCACAAATGAGGTACTGTGTCATGTAGGCTGACACAGAGTAAATTTCCCCATGTCTTGTTGGCAGCCCCCTCTGCTCCGTCTGGCCCCCAGCCCCCCGCCTCCCTGGGAATAAGTGGTAATTGACTCTGGAAGCCAGCTCAGGCCAGGATTTCTCCAGAGCAGAGCCTGTCACTTAGGCTGAATTATATGTTGTGCATGGATGAATAACATTTCTCTCTGCTCGGAGGGTAAGACCGCCAAAATTATTGACCTTCCCTCCCCAAGTTTACAAACACTGTTTTGTTTAGAATTTTTTGCCCCTCTTTAAGGGAAAAAAAAAATCAGAGTAAAATGTATGGGATGTGGGTGAAATTGCTGGCACAGTTACAGGGATCAGAAGTATTTGCTGTAACTGGAATGAATGCAAAAAGAAAGTGGAGTTGGAGTCAGCATTATGCCCCTCTCCCTGGAGGTGTGCAAGCTCACTGCCGAGGCAAAGCAGATTTTGCACTTGGTGGGGACAATACCGTGACCAAAGGAAACATGGGGATTTTTTTCACAGCATTCTCCCCCTGGGCTGCATGTGGAACATTCCTGCAGGAGTGGCCCTGGAGGTAATTAACAAACCCCAAATCCCGCAGTTTGATTTCTCTCTCCCTGGAAAGAAAAGTGCTGGTGATGGATAGATGTTCCCTACCTCCTCAGAGGTGGTGAGGTAGCTGGGTGCAGGCTGCCTTCATCCACAGAGCAGAAGGGCCTCAGTATTAATAGCCATCATGGCTCAGATTTAGGATTTATGTTCAAATATTTCCCTGTCTGGCCCTAAAAGCATGCTCAGGGACTACAGCTTTTCCAACCGGCTCTACAGAAATTTGGCTGCCAGGGTACCCTCCTTCCCCTTCTGGAGGGGGAGCTGGGAAGGCTGGGGGTGCACCCTGGGGGTTTGCCTCCCTGCCACCCATGACCTCACTGCAGCGAGCAAATGGGAGGGCAGGGGGCCAAAATCCCCCACTGTGACAGCAGTTTCTGTCTCTTCTTGGCTACAGCAAGGATGCCTGTGATGCTGCTGCTCATTAGTTGTGTCCCAGCAGCAACTCAGAGCTCCCAGCCACACACCAGCACTTCCCAGCAACAGCTTACCATAAAGCTTTCGGTATTTTTGCCCTTTTTAAAAAAAATACTCTCCAGAAGTTCCTCTTGCAGTTCCTGCTTTCAGGTTCTGTTAAAGAGGTAACAGCTAAACTAAAAGATGAGGAAAGAAAAATAAACGAACATAAAAGAGAGAGTTTTTAAATCTAGCCATTGATTTCTGTAGTGTATCACATTCAGTCTTGTTTTCAGAATGACACAGTAACCCCCAGCAGATTTATGTGCAAACACGAAGATTAGTGACCCAGAAGCTTGACTGAAACAGCTTTTCTGCTTCCAGAAGACAGGTTGCTCTGCACACGCACTGACTGTTTTGTCAGCAAAGATGCACTGGCCCCATTAGCTTTTCATTCTCTCATGAAAAGCCCTCAGTGTTTATTCAGCACAGCTTGGTTTTAATTTTATTGTGCTCTTCAGTAAACTGGTCAAATTATACAGATTACTCACTTTCTGGGACAGAGAAGAGCAGGAACTTAACTCATATACCTTAATGGTATAGAGCTGGCATATTTTCAATTGTCTCCTATATCCACTGCCTGAATAGCTTTCAAGTGAAGAAAAATGCCTGTAACTAAAATATCCAGTGTGTTCTGTTGTTATTTAACAGTAAGCAGTGCGGTTAAGCCAGGTCTTAAACTTGCTTAATCTCACTGAGCTAAATAGATTTTATTATTGACTCCCATGGTTCGAGAACTCTGACCTTAAGGCTGAAGTTAAAAGCTAATTCTTTTTGCAGTCTGTTCCACTAACCCAGAAGCACTTGCTTGCTGGATACATTTGCAATGGAGAATGTCCAGCTGTAAATTACAGCTGTTTGCAGTCCTACCCAAACACAACACTCATTATTATTCTTTTGTTCTTTTTAGGCTGAAAAGCCCACCATGAGGGAGACTGTACAGTACTTAACCCACGCATTAAATTTACTCACAGCTCATATTCATGTGCAAGATAAGATTTTCCATGAAGATTTACAGTGGTCCTAGGGCACTTTTATTCCCCTGGCAGTTTTTAATTTTCTGTGCTGGAGTGTAAGCCAAGTGGGTCTGCTGAAGAGTTTTGGACACTTAGAGGAAAGTGGGGTACCACTGCTGAAGTTCCTCTCTGGTTGTAACAAGGGAAAGGCAGGTCCTTTGCTGAGTGCTTGGGTGGTACCTGGGAGATGTGCTGGCTTACAGCCACGATCTGATCTGCTCTCCTTTCTGTGTGCTTGTACTGCAGGAGGCAGGCAAAACCCACCAGCTCTGCCCATACAAACCTCAGTGCAGGCTGTAAGGTACAGGCAGAGCTGAGCCCAGTCATCTCAGCAGCCATATGGCTGTGCTGGCAGCCCTGCCCTTCCCAGCTGATAAGTCCTGTAAAGAGTCCAGCTCAATAGCTTGCTCTCATGAGGCCCCTCAGTGATACAAACGTGTCCTGCAAACCTGCACTGTGAAGCATGGGCTGTGATAAACCTTTTAGATCTACCACCTCTTGCTGTTGACAGAGCAGGCATTTCAGCACTAGCATCCATTTGGCAGTGGAGACAAGCCCCATTCATGGTGGTTGGTGAGCTACACAGCCTGTCTTGACCTTCAGTCTGGGCAGGAGGGATATTGCACTTCCACGTAACCACGTCTCATCTGTCCATGTCTGCTCACACAAAAATGAGGGCTGTACCAGACACAAGCTGGTTTACCTAATGGGACTGGCCAGTAGCATGCAGGATCCTGAAGGGCAAATGAATTTTCCCCCTTCCCCACTGGAGAAGTGAAAGGTTTGGGCAGCTGAAAAGCAGTGTAGCCTCACATCTGTGGGGAGAGACATTTGGAAGCAGAGGTGCTGCTGCACTGCCTCTCATTGCTGCATGCAGGCATTTAGCACTCTGGTGCAAGAAAAATCAAAAAGGTTGACCTTGGGCAACCCAGTCCCGTGCCCTGATATTGTAAGCAGACACAGAATTGGTGATTAGTCCAGCAGGATGTGTAGCACAGCTCTTCTTCAGACAAAGCCATATTGAGAGACACTATTTTTGTTAGGAGGCCTGGGGAGGCACTGCCTGTGAAATATTAAAGCAACAATAAGAGGCAATTTAGATTTTTTAATAGATCACTTAAGGCAGGCAAGGCAGCTGTCCAAGCAGCCTTAAACTTTTTGTGAAAAGCGACAAAGTTTTCTTGTTCTCAGGTATCTGCTTCAGCTGTGATTATGCAAAGCATTTAAACTTGTGATACCCTGAAGTAAGTAAAGAGTCCAGTGACAGCTAGCAAAACCAGTCATGTGCTTCATGTCACTCACACACTTAATGTTTGTGTTGGAATGATGTTTTTGATAACATTGCCTTTCACACCATGAGAGCTCTCCACATGAGAAGCTACATGGTCAGTGTACCAGTGAGTGACTCAGCTAGCTGGCTGGCCAGAAAGCTCCATGTGGCAGCATTGTGCAATCAGGGACAGCCCAGGGGAAGCCTTGGCTTAGGACAGGTGACCTGGGACCCGGCAGAGAGTGACGGAACTGAGATCACAGCTCCACGGGAGTCAATAGTTGGCCAGAGAAAAGGGTACACGCACAGCACTCGCTGCCACAGTCAGGCATGCAGCTCTCAGCATTAGCACACTGCTTACACTTTCTGGGTTATCTTTGAGAGGAAAAAGAGATTACCACTGAGAGGGAATATATGGATTTATCATTTGTGTCCTGCATGAAAGCTTGGCTGTTTGGAGATGCTGGTGTCTCACACTTGCACCCTCCCTGGCCCCTGCCCCAATATAGAGTAGCAAAGGGCAGCTGCTCCTTGGAATGGTCTGGGGTTTCTCAGTCCTGCTAGTTACAGACTTTGAAGGTGGAAGAGTAATGATACCTATTGTATATGGGATAGTTTTTGCAGTAGTGGAGAATGTTGTCAATTAGTGAAAAGGGGCTTTAGAAGAAGAGCCTGTGTCAACAGCTTGGAGTGAAAAGAAATAGATAAAACTCTGTAAAACTCCTTCTATTTAATTTGTGAGCAAGACCTGTAGCACTCATCTTTTTGCTGATG